CAGTAACAACATTAGGAACAGAGGAACAGAGGACCAGAGGATCAGTAACAACAGTAGGAACAGAGGAACAGAGGATCATTAGGAACAAAGGAACAGTAGGAACAGAGGAACAATAGGAACAGAGGATCGGTAACAACAGTAGGAACAGAGGAGCAGAGGAACAATAGGAACAGAGGAACAGTAGGAACAGAGGAACAGTAGGAACAGAGGAACAGTAGGAACAGAGGAACAGTTGGAACAGAGGAACAATAGGAAAAGAGGAACAGAGGAACAGAAGAACAGTGAGAACTCTGGGAAGTGAAAATAGGAACAGTGGGAACAGTAGGATAGGTAGGAACGTTAAGAGTAGTAGGAAGAGAGTAACAGAGGAACAGTACGATTAGTAAGAACAGAGGAACAATAACAACAGTAGGAAATATAGGAACAGAGGAACAGAGGAACAGTACAGTAGGATAGGTAGGAACGTTAGGAGTAGTAGGAAGACAGTAACAGAGTAACAGTAGGATTAGTAAGAACAAAGGAACAGTAACAAAAGTAGGAACAATATAGGAACAGAGGAACAGTCGCAATCGTAAGAACAGAGGAACAGAGGAACAGTAGGATGAGAGGAACAGTAGAAACAGTAGGAACAGAGTAACACCCTCCCAAGATCAAGGTTTGATTGTATAGGCTCAAGTAACGTACAGTAAGGCTTGATAACGGCAACTAAGGCACTCTACCTCAAGGGAAGGTATCGTTTATGCCACGAGCCGTTGTGGAATATCCATCGCCAAGAGATTATCAAGGTAATCTCTTGCAATCGCTTATATATGACTGAATTTATGAAAACCGTGTTAAGACGTGTTAAGCACCAAAATGGCTAACTGTACTTTGATTTCACAACTCCAAAAGGCCTTAAAATCACTCAAAGCGAGGAAAAAAAAAAAAAGAGAGAGAAGACAGCAAGAAAAGGAAGATAACAGAGTGGAGGGAAAAAAAAGACTGACATTCCTTTCAATTTTTGTACCGTCTACTTTGTCTGCAGAAAGAAAACAAGAAGCCACATTCCCCCATTAGCTGAGGAAAAAACAACAGAACATACCTGCCCATTCACCAAAAAAATGAATAGACGAAAGTCTAAACACCAGAAATTTAATACTTAATTTTGACGATTAATTTTCCCAATCCGTGTACACAGTATTGTTTGCAAACCGAAAATACTGTTGAACGCACTAGGTCTCAGCAGAACATGTCCACCATTTATTCCGTTTTGTTTTGTTTTTTCTTTTTTTTTTCTTCTAAAATCAAGAATCATGAATACTAAACGAGTACGCCTTAACTTTGGTACAAATCTGATTGCTTCTGATGACTTATACTGCTTCTGTGCGGCTTGAGGTGTCGCGTTAAAAGTACGTGTAACAATTGTAGGCGATGACGGAGAGACTCTGACAAAACGAAAACGCAAAATTGCCTGTGGGAAAAAAACGCCAAACACAGGAAGGTCTAAAGTATTTTGCACTGCCTTCATTATAATATAAGTCAACTGAACTGAGAACAGATTGACATTCGTGTTGGAAGACTACCCTAACAAGTCTAACAAATGAGGGTTTGTACAGGCAATACTTTTTTTATTATCAAGATCCGGCTTCAAGGAATAATATCGGTTTATGAGTTCCCGCTTAAAGTCATCGGTCGTTATACTATAATCAGTGGTCATCATCTTCTGCTGTATTGAGGTAAACGCGATCAAGATCTACCTTGTCGTGGGACTTCTCCAAGCATTCTGTTAAAATGCTCCCTTGAAACGAAATTGTTGTTAGCTCTTTCGCTGAATTGATCACGGTACTTTTCAAGGGGTGACTCCACATCCTCTGAGGACCTCATCGTTTGTGTTGCACAGGAGTCTCTTGCAGAACATGGTTGTATAATTTTAACAGGCCATCGCTTTGCAGATTTTCCATCACGGTTACGAAAGGACCAGGGCAGAACTCCAGGCCAGGATAATACTCTGTTTGCAATGGAGTTGTTGTCTGCCTTCTTGCTTCCTGGTTCCAGACTTCCAAGCTGAATGAGTAATGTTATGGACATTATCTTTACATCTTCCGTAGGACAAACCTGCCAAAATACGCTCTCAGTGTCAGTAGTGGAAGGAAAATCATTTTTTCTCATCTGATGACTCCTGTCGTAAACTTTACAACTTATCAAATGCTCGATTCCTCGAGTTGCGGATAAACGATTTTCGTAAGTGGCTGCCATCCGTTTTGGTACCATCTAGTTCATTACCATTATTTGTATCGATAATAACGGAGTCCAAAAATGAACATTTCACGTGGCTGCTTAAGAGTTGTAATCCTATTAAAGTGTAATTCAAAATTGTTATCACTAACATTGAATTTTTTCAAAGTGTATATGACACGAATTTTTTTTACCCAGTGTTTATTTCTTTGAAATATGCAACAACGAAATCAGGTTTAGACATGACGAAAAAAAAATTCGTTTCTCCCTGCCGCCCGAAATGGGTTTCTGCTCATATGCTTAAAACAGCTTTGATCTTCCTAGAATAACTATAAAAATCTCCCGCTTATCGCTAGTCCGGTTTTCACTCCATTGCCTGTTCAACGTCTCCGCAATTGAGTCCGGGAATTGCTCGAAAGCTTGATCGCCATCGACGTCCGATGACATCGTCGCCACATCGCTTATTTCGTGACAAAAGGAGTATATTCCCTCATAAACCAATCTCTGGAAGACAGACATAAAATGTCAATCTGGAGTTCAAGTAGAAGTCTCAGTTACTAAATACTTGTCCGTCATTTTCCCACAGACAGCATGGAGACTGGAGTTGACAAGCATTGGATAAACTGGGGCAATATGGCTGCTTCTGTAATGAGTATTTGGAATCCGGCCATATCGCTCAAAACTTGGTGATTTACATTATCACACAATATTTTCAAATTAAATTCACTAAAGGATGATGGTAGTAAGTCTAAAGAAAATTTACAAGTCTGCGATGAAAGTCTGTTTGATAAACTGAAACTAATAGAAAGCTCTGCCCTAGGAAGTTAATGCCGACATGGTTCTCAATAGATTTTTCCACAGGCGCCCGACACAGCATTACAGGTTGTGCCGGAAAAGCGAGGCCCGGATGGCTTAGCCTCTGGGGGAACATTTTGAAATTGTAGGTTCGCAAAGACGGATGCGATTTCTTGCTTTCTGGGACCAAAGTGTTCTATTAAAGTACTTGATTCAGTAGAGGAACGACTACACAACGACTTACGTTATAAAACTTGTTCACATGCAGTGTTAAAATACGTATAAAACATTGCTAGTAAACAGCGATAAATTAATTAAAACAACTATTGAACTTATAAGCCTTACGATTAAAAAAAGAGAACTAACTTTTACCCAAAGCAAGAAAATACATACCAAAGATTACTAATAAAAGACATATTGAAAGAGACATCAGCTGACTTTGATTAAGACTGAAAGACAAAATCACACTTTACAGAAAGACTTTGTTTGCAATACCCATAGACTTACAATACTATCATCTGATAAACAGTGTACTCGACTATTAAGATGACTTCCGCTAAGATTGAGGAAACGTCAAACAAACAAACAAACAAACAAACAAACAAACAACAATCTTTCCCAAGAGTCAAGACTATGATCGCAATGGATCGACGAATTACACTATTGAAACTCCTGGTTGAAAACTGTTCACTGTTCGTTTACCTCCGAGTGCAAGACCAGCGGCAGCTTCGGCACAAAATTTCTGTTTTAGATTTCTAGAGAATATTTGACACTTTTAAATGCCTTTTGAGCCTTATATCTAATTTATCAAATGTCACGCATCTTATGAGTTTTTTGCTCATTCCTACTGCGGTCATTTAGACACTTCGAAATTTCTTTGCCTGTTCAAGAAATGCGGAGTGATAACAGAGAGAAACACAGCACAAACATTCGCGGCGCCATCGGTAATTCCCATACTATTAAGTACAGTCAGGAGCCAATCACCCATGGGCTCCTGGTACAGTGGAATCCCGATTTCCGTCGAACCCTGATTTTTTCCAGCGTCTCGATAACTCGAACCAAACGTCATTTCCTCTCCTCAGTCGAACACTGTAATTTTACCTCCCATTTCTTGAACTATCCGATTTTTCGAAACAATGTTCGTTTCCCTTGGAGGTTGGAAAAATCGGGATTTAGGCTCACATAAAAATAAGTAACAATAAACCTGATAGTAGAAATCCAGCTGTGAATCATGATTTTAAAATGTTGAGTGGAGGTAAGCCTGTAGCTGTTTTCAAGAGGGAGGGGAGAAATATTTTCGGCGTTTATCTACGTTCCTGCAACAAAGCAGAACCAGTGGCTTCCCTGAGCGCTCCACCCTCTTTGATTCAGGGCCCACCACTGCTGTCAAGAAAGGGTCAGGCCTTTTGTCTTTCGTGCTTGCGGGAGTTTCGACAGAATAAGGTAAGCAATAGCCCACAATTTTTAATTCTTTCGTCATTATTCCAGTTTCTTTTTGTTTCATTATGATTTGAAAGTTCTTTTTTTATTTTCTTTCATGCATGAACCATTATTTTTCTCGAGATTATCTTCGATTGAACGTCAAGTTTGCCCGTCAAAGCATGTAGCGTGACACAGTTCGTGAAAAAGATGTAAAGCCTGGATGATCGCCAGTTGGCTTTAGCGCAAGATTGATTTCCAAATTCCAGATTTTCCGTTGAAAAATAACAGATTAGTTATCAACAATTGAAGTAACGAATTAATCGCGCTAGTTAGAATTGCAGTGAGAAAAGCTGGCTGGTTCAACTGTAGAAAACAAAGATTACGTTGGGTTATTTCTCAGAACCATGGCGCACTAGAACAGCAAACATTGCTGTTCACCAGGGGAGGACTCTCATGCTAACGGAAGACGCTGCTCGTCGGAAACTTAGGATTAACCCGAGACCAATCTACATGCGGCGAAAGCTTTGTTTGAATCCAAAACGAAAGCATTCCAACCTGGGCAGACACACGTTGAAATACGAGATGCAGTGGCTCTAATAACGATTAAGACATTGTCATCAAATGCTTTCATCTATGAAAAATTTGAACGATTTCGTGCCATATCTATTTGATCTTACGGGGCAACTGTAAAAGATGCCTTGATTGATAAAAGCCATATTACGTTCCCGTCTCCCGGAGGGCTGATTTATTTTCAAGACATTAGTCGGATAATTCAATAGAAATGTGGGCTTATTGCACTGGGGGCTTCATTTAAGTCGAAAATAGCTTGCAGTCATAAACAGGGTAGCCTGATTCTAACAGGGATGTAATCATTAAAATGTATCGTGCTTGTTTCCATGTCATCTCCAAAAGAAGGCAGCACTAAACAATGACTGTGGCGAGTAGGTGACTTTCAACCTCGTGAGAACATTTCCTCCAGGCGCTAACTCTGTTTCTTATTCTCAGTTTTCAGAAACACACCACAGCTAATCAAAATAAAAATTGCTGGCATGAGTGATAATGGCCTGCCATACGAATTCTGTGGAGTCAACAAAAATTGCAGTTGTGGCCCGAGGAAGATACGGCCTCTCTGGGCCCCAGATCCATTTTGGTCTACATGTATTCTGTGCCAATTTTGACCTGATCTTAGTCACTTTATTGGCAAATGTGAAGTATCCCAAGTTAGTGATTTTGCCCCCGAATTTAGCGGGAGAACGCTTTTAAAGAAGTGGTTGTACATGTAGACGACTTAAGCTTTACTCTGAACCCGCTAATACTTTTAAAGCAGTTGAGTTGAAAATCTAAGATCCCATTCTAGGTCATTCTACTGAGTAACTTGGCCTTTTTTCGTTTTTCCTTGGTAATCGAGACGAGTGAGGTCGGAAGAAATTTCCAGCCCGGCGCCCGGCAGTTCCAGGATATCTCCAGCAAAAATCGAGCTTTCAGAAATCGCTCTTTATTCACAGCTAGCTACAAGCCAAATGCAAGGGTTTCTTGCTGCGATACATAAAAAATACCGCATTTCCTAAACACCTTGGAAATAAAATAAATTTGAAAGATTCGAAGAATGTTATTTATGGTCAACAACTTCCGATAAAATGATATCTAATGCTAAAATACGCATAACGGTGCCCACCGGAGTTGCGCAACATTGCACCCCAAAACGCAAGACAGCGTGACACATGCAAATACGGCACTAAAATTGACTTGCAAATCATGACCTCAGGTTTTGAATTCCCCAAAAAAAGATTTAGTTCATTGAAATGCATATTTGATAGCGAGGTCGATCGGAGTGAGCGTCGCTTGAAAAAAAAAGGCCGCCGATCCGTTAGCTTACACTGCACAGTTCTAGCCATCTCGTGACAGGGCGGCGTTGAACTTAGTCCCTACGTGGTGAAGAGATAACGCGGAAGAAACGAGAATCGGATTGCAAGAGATATGGCGAACACTACAGTAATACACCANAAGAGCCACCCTGTGGATATACTGCCTGAAATGCCATTATTATTATTATTATTATTATTATTATTATTATTATTATTATTATAATTAACACCACCATCTGAACTGTGAAAGCAACCGGACAGAGTATTGCTTGGGACAGGGAGGTGGGTTAAGCCTACAGGGGGCTGGGCTCCCTTCAAGGAAGACCAAATTTCACACTGCTGGTCATTTTGTGCTCGAGGCACTGAGGTAAACACTGGGGATGTTTGACATTTGGGCCAGTCTGAATAAAAATCTTACCTCCTCCCACAAACAAGGGTCCTGTCAGCTACACAATGGCCATATTGCTCCCAGATGACTGTAGTTTTTCATCACGTATCATAAATCTTATACCAACTGTTGATCAAGTCTTCCATCCTTCACAGTCCAAACACTTAGCAGCTGGATCCAAGCTTTGCTTGGGAAATCCAGGCCTTTCTACTTGAAGGTCATCAACAGCGCCACAAACAATTGGATTATGGAACTGGAGCATCCAGCCAGCTGCTCTTGTCCTGCTCTCTGCCCCTGGGCTGCTCCAGAGATAACTGTCCGCATGCCCACTGGTGAAGTCCTAGGACACATCAAGCACTCGTAAGTCAACTGACAGTTAATAGGGAGCTTATAAACAAACCAAGATAGCGATACCAATGAAAAGATTATGGCAAACAAAAGGTTTAATGTAATAAGCAGAATGGCTATGCAATAAATCTTTGTATATATCTTTGTGGCCATCCTCTGCATATTTTGGATAAAATAAGCCAAAATGGCTAATTTTTGTATTTCATTTTGGAATTGATTGCTGACCCTGTATATTTAGTTGGAGCAGTTGTTTTAGACCTATCAGTGTGCCTGGGGCGGATACAGGATTTTAGAGAAGGGATTTGAGATACAGACTGCTAAAGGTGCCCCCATGAAGGGGGTCTGGGAGCCTAGTCCCTAACACTTGAAACGCCTGGTTAATTTCAGCTTTAAAATGCAGATAGCGACCACCAACCCATATTTTCTTGAAATATTTCTGAAAGGAAACACGAATTATCACTCGAACGTCTCAGTCACAGAAATTTTTGCTCATCAGATCAGTTGTGCACAATGGTATTTATTATCTTGCAATTCATTGACCTATTTGTTACTAGTAAACAAAACTTAGCTTGTGTTGTCTATGTAGAAATTATATGTAGTTTCTTTAATTTGTTTAACAATAATCATAACGGCTTGTAGTGTATTTAATGCAGTAATACATAATTTCATGCTGTAATCCCATTATAATTCCACACACATACCAACATTGAAAGCCTGAAAAGATATAGTATAATATATAATAAATTTATCTGTTTTTTTGTCATTTTGTCTTTAAAGCACACCCCTAATAAATTAATCAGTTGAAGTCTGCCATTATTTGAGAACACACGAAGACAAATTATCTTGTACAACACAGTGTGCATGCATTATATTTCCTATACCCCTACACTGAGCAAATATGTATCTCAAATAACAAAGACCTGTGAATAAAGTTTGTCTTTCACAGGTTGTAGTTAAACAGCCATTCAATTCACATCTGATTTATAAATAAGGAAAAAAGTAGGTTGAATGTTAGTATCTGATGTTCTCCTTTTCAAAACACGCACATCTATGTACCTCACAAGATGGCACTGGAAACTACTACCTTTTTATGTTTACACTTGTGTAAGTACAGGAATACAACATGTAATTAACACCTCCATCTGCAATTCATTATTAACAACTCATTTTAAGAAAACTTTGGAACTTCAACAGGTCCAGAGAGACTTGTGGTAGTTGGCTTGGACCTTCTGTCTACTTTGAGGTGTACAACTATGAAGGCAATCTAATCTACAAGGTGCAAGGACCCTCAGGGTACCCCTGCGAGTGCACAAGAGACAAAGTCGCTGTCTTTAAGGTACAGTAACTACAAAAGCCTAGCACCCCATTAATGTGACTCCCTTATATTTGGACAAGTTCTTCTTTTCCTGAGGACGTACTTATACATGATTATATGTCATTTGTCCGCATCTTGCATTTAAGCTTCCCTACTGGAGATCTCTTTCTCTTTACCATACCACAGAGAAAATACAATAGGTTCAGACCTTTGTGCTTTGTCACAAACAAGTATGCCTACCTGTTTTAGGTTTTGCTATTGCTCTGTCCACTATCATTGTAAAGCTAAGTATGACTGTGTAAAACACCGTAAATCTGTAGATCAAGTTATGAGATTAACCTGTTTTTGTTTTCTTTTTTAATGCGGGTCAATGTTTTAAAACTTCCAAACTTTAGTTCCAGTCTCTTTCACAAGAGTTATGGTTGGTACACAAGTTTAAAGTGTCTTGCATTTTCCTAGAAGCATGCACTTAGCATTAGATGTACATTTTTATGTCCGAGACACATTATTCATTTTCCTAAAATATCAAAATTAAGACAGTTACTGTTCTTTCAGTAGCCTGGGTCCTAAATCATGGGGAGCCTGGATGGCGCAGTGGTGATAGCGCCCGCCTCCCACTAATGTGGACCGGGTTCCATTTCAGCCCAGTGTCATGTGGGTTGAGTTTGTTGTTAGTGTTCGTCTTGCTCCAAGGGATTTTCTCCAGGTTCTCCCCTTTCCCTCCCTCAAGAAAAACCAACATCTCGACTCCAAATTCCAATTCAAGCAGGATAGAGGACCTACATGGCAACCAGCTATGGCTGATGTGGATTTCTCTCTAAATATTGTAATTTATGTCAAGCCCTAGCTAGAGAATAATTTAACTGCTGTGCAAATTTCAATATTTCATTCTCTCCTTCTGGACGTGTTTGACAGATTCTCAAAGAAGGGCCTCAAGGGGAGTCTGGAGGCAATCAAGTCGCAGAGATAACTCACACCTGGAGGGGATGTTGCGGAGGTCTTTGTAGTTGCTGTGTCACTGCCGATCCAGATTTTGTCACCATGACATGTAAGTTAAAAATACAGTTCAACCCTTATTAAACAGCCACTCTCGGGGAAATGGATATTGGCTGCTTAATGGGGCTGGCCATTTAATAGAAGTAAAAACAATAGACAACCCCTCATCGGAACTTTGATTACTGGCTGCCTAATAGGGGTGGCCATTTAATAGGTGGCTGCTTAATACAGGTTCGACTGTATCTGTCATACACAACCTTATTTACTGACTTAGGTCTCTTTGTGCCATATGGAGCATAAGGTCCCCACAAGGTCCCTCCATACACACCCTATGTATTTTTAAAATGTGTTGTTCTGTTGTTTTAGAAAATAACCACACACCCCTCCCTCTCCATGGAAGGTTCTTTTTTTGTATTTGGACCCTCTCACACATCTGGTGAATTGTGTGTCAGTAGCTTCATAAATTGCTTTAAAATTTTGGCATTTAAGACCCTTGCCCCATCAGAATTTCCATTGACCTTCCATGAGGTGTGAATGGATATTTGGAGTTGCTCACTGATTTCTCCAAAAAATAAATTAACTTTCTGCACCAGAAAGAAAACAAGCAACACGGGCCAGCCAATAACCAAGCCCTGAAAAAAAATCATTTGTCAATGAATGTTTCTCGCTTATTTGCTGCTCTCTCTGAAAGCATGCCCATTCATTTTTTTAATGGGGTGTTGGGGGGAGGGGTGGGCTGGTGGGATAGGATAGTCCGTGTAATAAATATAATCTCACATCCTCTATCCTCGCCCATGAACCCCCTTTTATTATGTAGAAATCGTGGTGATCACATGGAAACTGTTATTTGTAAGGAACATGCAACTCTTTCTGTTGTGATCACAACAATCACAGCCATTTTTGTAATTGTTAAAAGGTACCATATTATGTAGCAGCTGTGAAATGTTTAAATGCGATATCCCTAATGATACTCATAAAAGACAATTTTCAACCCAGAGAATGTTAACATTCACGCCTGTTTGTACCATACAGAGAACCTCCCTCTCCTCCCCCAGGAAAGATCCGGCCAGATTCAGGCTGTAATACCTCAACCTGTAAGCCATGCTGCTGTGTAGAACATTTCTTTGTTTTGATTACAGTTCCCAGAAGTCTTTCAGCCGAAGACAAAGCCTTATTCCTTGGCCTGCTGTTTATTGTTGTAAGTACTTGAATGACCACTATGCCTTTATAATCACACAAATCTCACAGTCCATAACCAAACTAACAATTGCATTTTTTGGCTACTGTCAATCATAATTACAACGACAACCAAATACGAACTTTGTCAAAAAAGAAACACAATACGGGATCGAGATCTGCCAATCACGACCCAGTCATACCCATTGGGTACTGAAATATTAGTGTAATATCTTTGTAAAAGTTTTTTACTCTGTTGGTAAGACATAGGCTGTAGTCGTGAATATAAAAAACCCTACAATAATATAATTGTTTTCAGATTTTTAAAAGTGCTGCTTTTTAAAGTAAAGTAATCTGGTCAAAATAATTTCTCTGAAGCTATTTGTGATTTCCGCGGCGCATTGTATCTAATGCAGGTTTGCTGTATATATAAGATAAGCATCTAAACTAGACTTGCAAATAAAAATATCTATCGAACACTCGTGGGGTCAACAATAAAACGTAAATTACAAGAAGAAAGCTTACCTCAGCTTACCCGTGCTGATCTTTCAATTCCTTGTAGCCTCGCCTCGAGAAAGTTCATCAAGGGTGGGGTGGGTAAGTGGGAGTTGTCCAGAAAAAGCTTTCATGCACAGGGAATGCTTAAAATAGTTGCAAAACCAAAATTGCAATCTTCTCTCTAGAAAACGGGATCTAAACCCGTTTTCATACTTATGGGTTTCCCATGGAAACGAGTTGTCCAAATTTTAAGGTAAAAGAAAAAAAGACGGCAAGACGTTTGTTAGTTAATGTGATTTCCGTGTTTTACTCATTCTTTTCAGATGCATTCTTATCTGGAAATTCAGTAAATACAGCAGCAAAGGATATCATCACAGAATATTTTAGTTAAACAGTGGTTAGACAGAATAATCGAATATGATAGCAGAGCTCACTGTCTAATGCAATGTAGTCATTGCTTGCGACAGGCTCTTGCATGGAAGTTTGATTTTGTTCGTTTGTATTTGTATCATCTTTCCTTCTTTTCAATCTCTTTGTTTCTTAATTCGGCAGCAATCTAATCGGAAATCCTTTCTTTAGGTTTTTATTCATTACTATAAAACACATAAGGCTGATTTTCTTTCATTGGTATCCCGATCTTCCTTGACCCGTTGTAGCCTGGCTAGTCACTATATTTGCCATAAAAAAAACTTTCAAACATAGTTTTAATAACAACATTTTCATCTAATGCAAATACGGTGTACAGTAAAACAAAAAAAACAAAAGCAATACTAAGAAGAGATATATATTTCTCCCAAGGCCCTCATTATTTTTTTCCGATTGACTGCGCCAATTTAGAGGTGCCATTTTTAGACGACAAATTTTTCTTTCGCATCAAATATGTGGTTGTGATCAGGAAGTTTGATTTCATGTTAGCATAACTTTATTCGCTTGTCGATTTAAATTAACAAAGTACGCAGCTTTTGAAAGGGAAGCAATTTAGTTTAGCAGAGGAAATTTCAAGGTTTAAGCTTCAATAGCAATTCTCTAAACTTGGAAAGGTAGGATTAGTTTTTCTTTTCTTTTTCTTTTTCTTTTTTTTTTTTTTTAATGTTTTCGTGAAGAGCATGCATTTGTCCCACGAGGATGAAATCACGTGAAAGTATAAGGAACATTTCGCAGTCGAAATGCCAAAAGCAGATCATAATGAGTGCAAATTCAGTGGAGCATATTTAAATTACAAGAGGTATTGTTTCTGTAAGCCATGTATGTCTTGAATTTAGCAACTTAGGAAATATGAATGCGTGACTGTGCTTTAAGAATGTTGCACTCAGATAACTGTTGTATTTTCCACTAACTTTGTCTGACGTGCTTTTGTTAAATCTGAAATCAAATTAATATGCGCTTGTTATTTCATGACTGAAGGAGTGGATGTTTCACGTGTTGCATTTATCTTCATGTCTAACAGTTTACTGTTACACTTATTAGGATCGTGTATATAGATACGGTCATCTTCTGATTCGGTTTGATATACCAGCATCATATGTTGCTACCCTGGTCCTAGAGGTTTTTCTTGATTTTTCTTCTTTTTGCGAAGCGGCGAGAAAGAAAAACCTCTCTCGCCGCTTCGCGACTCGTGTTTTCACCGCTTCGCGGCTCTCTCGCAGCTCTCTCATGCGGAGAAAAATCAAGAGAAGAGAAAAATCAAGAAAAATCTCTGGGAACAGGGTAATATGTTGCGATATACAGGTTGAACTAACAGAGAATCCTGTATATTTTTCATAGCTTTTCAAGAATTTAACTTTATATCACTCTTAATTAAGTCATATAACCTATTTTTGTATATTGCCTAATGATAGAGACGAGGCCTACGGCTTTTCGCGCGGCCATTTTTCTTCTCTCGTGAATTTTGCCCGCTTCGCTGGACAATCCAAGAAATAACTGACTGTCCACAGCCTATCTTTTTTAATGGTTTAAATGTCTAGCATTTTGCAGCCAATTAGTTTCGCCACCAGACTGTGGTGCTACGGTACTTAACCCTCCAAGCCTCAATATCAGGAATTTACACATCTTGAAAAGTTTAGCCTAAATTCTTCAAGTTCATCGTTTGTAATCCGCGTTAATCTTCTCCATCTTAAACCACCCTTGTTTATATATGGGTTATTATTAGCTCTTAGTAAACTACTATTTTCCTGTTTTCTTCAATTTAACGGTTATTTTAAACGTGGCCAAAATAACTCTAAATATCGGTGACTGAGCTCCTATAAGAGAATGTATCACTGATGGCTGGTGAAGTATTCATTTCACGCTGATAAATTAGCTCTTGACCATGCAGATTATTGGGGCTTGGAGGGTTAATCCTGTGCGATGTAGAGAAGTTGTTATATGAGTTTATATTGAACGAACGACCAAGTAAACTAGATCCTAGTACGAAATGAGTTATCATTTAGTTTTAAGGAGGAGCTAGTTCACATTAGGTCCAATACTTGTATTAAACCCATCATAATTAATGAATAGTAATTAACTTTGGGGAAATAAACATGCTTTGAAATGAAATCTTTTTGTCCATTACTGATTAAGTTATTCAGTTTTAAGAAGGAATCCAACAAAAGCTCGAGCAACAAGTGGTCAAAAACTTTGTACCTAGATTATTTGCATTGTATTGCAAACGTCTGTGTGACTGTCTTATATATCCTCTCGAAACAAATCAATGACAACACCAAATTTCGAAAACAAATTTTGAAGTTCTTAAGAAACACTTGAAAGTACTTTGTTGATGAATTTTTACCTGTGCTGGCACAATTTCTCTGAACTATGAAGTAGATTTTCTCAAGTTTCCTTGCAAAAATTGTTTTTGGCGCTATTGCAGGCAACTATTTATTTCTTATTATTTTAGAAAATTTAAACAGAACTGTAATATACTCAAAATTATTCTGGTACCAGGTTTTTGTCAACAAAAAACTGAAATTGCTCAGTTCCTATCGGATTTCAACTTAAGCTTTTTATGTCATCCTACCGAACAGCTATCATTTTCTCCAGAATCCTAAAGAGATATCACATAATTAATTTCAAGAAGAAATAGAATGTTGAATTTTTCAGTTTTAGTTCTAATAATAATGAACAATGTAAGAGTTCTTCTCAGCTCTGTTCATTTGGCGTTGGGTGTGAAAATTTTGCGGTTTACTGCTTGACCGAAATTCAATTTCGTTAGTTCGTAGGCGGAAAAAAAGTCGAGTCTTAAATTTGCATCGTTGACAGCTTACATACTCGTCCCCAGAGGCCGCGCTCCATTTAGGCAGCGATTTTCTGAGCATGCGCAGAGATTGCGTTTTCGTATTCTCAGCCAATTAGCTTTGTCAGATTTGACGGAAAGTCTGTAAACCGCAGACTTCCGGTGTTGGACCAGCCCAGAGGTCGCGATTCTTGGTGCTGACCAAAAGGAGCGCGGCCTCTGTGGACGAGAATGGACAACTTACAACAATCCGCAGGATTTCAATGCACATTCTCGTCCCCAGAGTTTACTGCCACTCTCAGTCAGTGCGGGATTTGGCACGAAGAAAAGGTGGGTCTGGCGAAACATGATATGATTGGGTGGTTTTTTGGAGTAAGACTATCACTAATTCAACGCTGGTTTCTTTCTCGAAAATATCCACTGATTGATCTCTTACTAAATCGTTCGATACAGCTTTAAATAAACGGAATTTAACACGGCAGAAAATTATCAAATGCACACCAGAGTGGCACACATGAGTTTCGCTATGGAGAGCTTCACCGGAAACTCTCCCTGGTCCCCCATACGTTAGTCAGTATCAATCAGTGATAGTTTTGAGAAAGAAACCAGCCTTGAATTAATGAAAATCTTAGGGCCACCTGTACCTCGTGCCAAGGCCCCATCGGCTAAGAAGTCCAGACGGCTGTAAGGGCGAGAATAAGAGTCACAGATCGTTCTGTAGCCTGTGAACAGGCTCCGGTTGGAATGGTCAAAAAGGAACTGGCTTAGCGTGTAGTGGCCGAGGGGGAATGGGGTAGGGGTTGTCCTCTTTTTCCCCCTCCTCTCTCTTCTATCCTCTTTCTTCCAGCTTTCACAGGCTACTCGCTCCCACTCCCTGCTCCTCTTGTTGGGCAGAGGGTGGAACGAAAGCGAACGACCTTGGGCGGTCTGTGGTGCAAGTGACCTGCCGCAATGCCCTGCTGAAAATTGATATTGATAAAGACATTCCAAGACATGATGAATAATCATNTAACGTGGTCAAGCATATGACAAAGGTATTAACAACATACAAATAACATGCTGAAACTCGCTTGTTTGTCATACGCTTTTCACTTGTTTTTCATACGTTTGCTACCTGTCACAATTTCAGTAGTTACCGGGCATCTAGACACTGCAATTTTCTTCCAGACTAAGGAGAAAGACGGTCGAATCTTATCACGGAAAAAAGAAATGAAACAAATACGGTTACTGGATAATAAGGTACAAATTTATTTCATTTCTTCATATCTGGGACGGGAGGGTTAGCGATTATTTATTTGAATATTAAGGTTTTTAACATCCGGGACCGCGAGGTTGTGAACTTAAAACAAATTCTATGTAATTTTTAATATACACTTTTAATGTATCAAATCATTAACATGATCTTGTGTTACTTTAGGAACTCTTCTTCGAATCCTGGTGACGACAACAGACTTTTCATGTAAATTATCGGCATCACGTCACAAATCTTAAGCGGCCAGCGAACGTAGTTTGGTTGTTTTTTTTATTTACTTCGATACTGGGGAAAAGTTATTTGACGCTTGGCAGGCAAAATGAGTTTACATTTATCATCAGAATGAGACGAAATTTGTGAACGGAAGCAGGCCTGTCCCAGTCCAATTTCATTATCGTCACGAGAGATTTTGTTGTTATTTCTGCGATGATTTTACTCCCGGGTTCTACTGCCGTGAACCAGCTAGATGACAATTTGTTCTGCTCTGTACGTTAGCGTGACACATTGCCTTGAAGTTTAATTCGTCTCTGTCACACGACAGGATAATCTTGAGGTAGATCGGAGCGTTCTGATTGGTCCTTTCTTGGTCGGGATTTTGCCATATAGACCGTTTCTGTGGAAACGGCAATAACCCGTGATCAGCTGATCAGCTGATAAGGTCACATTGTTGAGCTACACGGACAAAATAACCCGCGACTGATAAAGCAAATTCACGCAATATTTGAATTTCCTTTGACTTTAGTTTACCATGACGAAGGCTAATTTTATCTCGAAATACCAAATGAAGAATTTCACTCTTAAAATTTTCCAGTCTGACTTTACACAGCATGATTTCGCCCCCAGAAGAGTCCTTGATAAAAAAGATAAATAGTCGTATTTAATTTTTTCATAGTTTTTAATGTCACACTGATTGAAAGAAGTCTTAATTGGTATGGTACAGTCACGTCTTAATTTTAAGTATCCAGCCTTTAGGTCACAAAAGATGTATTTACAGCTTCTTTTTCACATTGGAACAAGTTACTATTTTCAGAATATAAGTAATATACACAGGGAAAAAGAACGTCAGGTTTCTACTTGTGGCCCGTGAAATCAGACCCGTTTTGTGTTTCCCCCTGGGGGTACAAATTGCGGGTACAAAGAAAAAATACAATTGAGTAGGGCCTGGGCTCGTTACCAGTCTCACACCCTGTCAGCAGGTGTTACCGAATGTTGTGATAACAGACAATGCACTTGCGACTGATCCAAGACTCCTCAGAAATAAACGACGCAGTTCCGTCGGGCGAAATCATAGGAATACATTGGCAGAATAAAACGACGACATCTTTCCAATGCTTCGGTGGAATCAATGTATGGTAAAATCCAACATCAGAAAAGGAACGCAAAAGTCCACTGTCAGAGCGAGGTAATAATTATTTTTTACTATCGTGAATTTTATGTGAATTGATCCCGTATATGTTACCAGCAAACACAAGAGGGTTCGCCGCCGAGAAAGTAAAATTGTAACCCGGTAACGCTTTCAAGACGACCGACGTCAAATTGTAAGACCCAAATATAAAATCGCCGACCAGATATTTTGGTTAGTGAATATTCTTAATTGCCGATCCCCTTCTCAAAATTTTAATATTTTAACTTTAACACGTAACTTTCGAACCAGGTTTGTTTACACCGATTCGAGCTATTTTACTGTGCGAAGTCAACTGAAGCGGGAAAATTGGGGCACCGAAGGAAACGAATTTATACGTATTTGTACCACATTTTTTATTTAAATTTAAATTCTCAAAAAATAATCTTTTAAATTAGAAGAGATATATTCTTAGCAGACGAATGAGCGCGGGAAATTTGCATGTAGGGGACTACCACAGACAAGAAAACACAATTATATATTTTATATCAAGCGCAAATTACTGCAGCCTAGAAAAGTTGCTTCGTTTATACTCATATTTTCATATATACGGGCGCCTCTGAATTGTACTGTAATTGATTCTATACTTTGTTTCCGACAAATTAGTGTTTCTTTTTTCTACAGATGTCAGCCATTTTTGTTTATATGATTTTTCCTCCAGCTGAGCTATGTAAAGATCAATTACTATGTATAAGTGCTTAGAAAAATTAAGGAAAAGACTTCAGAAGAGAAATATTTTTATTGTGTTGGACTTGCCTTGCGAAAGAAAGATCGAAGTATCACGTTTAATTAAAATTCTGTAAGTTTCCTCTCGACATTTTTCAAGTTAGTCGTTTGTAATCCGTGGCAATCCTCTCCATCCTTAATCATCCTTGTTCCTTTATGGTTTATTACTAGCTCTTTGGTGTTTTTCTCTCTTAGTTCAACTATTATTTTAAAGTTTCCTTTAATATAAAGGTAACAAATATCCCAAGATACCTTGACTAGCTCCTATGACTGTTTCTCCAATATACTATCAGCGTATTCAATTTTAGGCTAAGATGAGTCATTAAATTTTCAGCTATCTTTCAAAATTAGTACCGGCGGCATTTGCGAACAAGTGATTTTAATTTGCTACGGAGCAGCCATTTTATTTTCGAGAGGAAATGAAATTTATTTCCGCGCGAGGAAATGAATTTATTTCCGCGAGGAAATTCGCGAGTGGCGAATTAAATAAGCCAATCAGCGAGTGAGCTGCAATAAGAAACTTGAGGTTTATTTTCGTCTAATCGGCGAAAATAAAATTGACTGGCGTACACAGACCCCCGGGAGTATGTGGTTTTGTGGTTTAATTCGAACCATTGACCTTCAAAATTTTGCGCTAATGAGCTTGTCTTCAAGCGATTTACCTCTTCGGTATGTTATAAAGGTCGTGGTGTTTTGCAAATTTGTTTTCAGCAGTGGCTGTGACCCGGTTTAAATGAGACTCCATTTTTGTATCCACTTTTGAAAGCGCACAAGAGCAGTCGGTGCGACTTTAAACAGCGCTAATTTCCGCTCGCTAAGTTTCTAGTGGCGTTACAATGGCGTTACTGTAAAATTGTCTACATTCGCTTTTGCTTTATAATGAATATCGTTCGATTCTCAAGCTGATAGCCAAAATTAAACGATGGCTCAAGCTTTGCACTGAAATAAACAGGCGATCCAAGAAAAAACATACAAACACAGCCCAGTGAATAGGAATCATGTACTGGTCCTACGGTGGTGGGGGGGGGGGGGGG